AAAAAAAATAAAACAGAAGCAAGGCTGGCAGCCACACAAATAGTTGAGAGCTAAATCAAACCGAGCTTTTTTGTTGCAAAATCATGAGTCATGGCAAGCCTATTCTTAGTTCGGGGGTGTTTGTGTTTGCCAAAGTTGTGTGCACTTAAAGTGATGCTGCACAAACCGGCTAGGAGGAGATCAAGAAATCAGTTTGGAAACAAGCTCGGGGGTTCACTTCATGAAGCGAAACGTGGGCTCGTCTGTGCGTTGCAGTTGTGTAAATCTCAGTCAGGGAGCAGAAAGGGCCTCTATACTTATACACTTAATGAACAACTACTAACATTTCCTCCTGCTTTCTTACAGAGCTGCCAGAGCACCACGCCACCCTCGAGGCAAGGGGGGGCTTTCAGTGTGAGGCCACTGCCTTCCAACAACCACCAACAACACCATCACCACGAAGCTGGGAATGGAAAGCGTCAGCAGTGCCAGGCTCGCAGGTGGACACATGCACCAAAGACCAGTCAGGACCCTGCTGGGGAGAGCAAGCCCGGAGTCGGGTGGTTGGACGCGGCTGCTGTGGGTGTTTCTCTGGCAGTGTCTTAGCTGGTTGTTGTGAGGAGTGAGAATGAAGCAATCAGCAAGTATACTGCCGCAGAAATTCTTCGCAATAAGAAGCCCCGGGATCACAGCTGAGAGGGAGGAAACTGGGAGCTGGCACCGTAAGTTTTCGACCCTCCTAAGAGAATTAACTGAGGAGAGATCGGCCGAGCGCATGGCCCTCCGCAATATTTAGAAAACGGATCAAAGCGTCAAACTTCCACACTGTCTGTTGCACTATCGTGATCTTCTGCTGCCATCTTGTGACTGAAAGCAAACCTCCCGGCATGCTTTTGATCAAACGCTGCTGCGCCAATTTGTGAAACCTTTGCCTTTTTTTTTTTCCTTTTCATTGAGACAAAACGAAAACGCCCTTTCATTCAGAAAATACAGCTTGGCTTACTATGACTTTTTTTCAGTTGCAAATGCATGTTTTTGATCCCTTAATTTAATTTGCTCCACAGATATTTCTGGATGTAACACACAAACAAAAAGAAAGTGGATATGATTAATTCTTGATTTATGTGCCTGATATTTTATTTGTGACATATTGCTGCTGTAGAAAAGGAGCATTATAAATAAAGTTAGATAAATACTGATTTATATATTTTCCTTTTTCCTTACTTAACACAAGAATTTTGTAATAATGCAAAAGTGTTGCAGAAAGGCTCTTTGGATTACATTTAAAAAAAGAACACTTTTTATTTAGTGCATGATGAGAATATTCCTGTGTGACCAAAGACGACCTAATGTGTGCAGATGAGTCAGGTGCACATTAATTTAGGCTTTCTCACACACACACACACACACACACACACACAATGTTCTTCTGATTTTTTCTCTACTCTATCTCAGAATCTCTCACCGTTATTGTTGATGCACGATACGAAACAGTGTCTTAAACTGTCTGTCGATGGTGTGATTCAGGCGATAATGCAGATGCCAAGTTTGCTGCAGTCTGCAAGGAAAAAAAGACAAAGAAAAAAAAAACCCCACCAATGTTCTGCTGCACTGCTACAAACACTAAAACAAGGGGGTTGCAGGTTTTTCTGGGCTGCAGTAATGCAGAAGCAGTAAAAGTCCGGCTCTGACACAAGGTCACCGCTCGGCTCTAAACCGTTTTACATGACACTTCTTTGGTAAACTGCAAATCACAAGGCCACCAAAGAATCAACAGCACTCGGACAGGAGGCAAGCCAGATGTTAGTTGTTAGCTTCTCCTTTATTTCTGTGTACGGTCAACTCATCGCTAATAGAAATGTAATTTCAGGCAAAATTATGCTTTTATTTAAAAATGAACTTATTTCCCCAGAAAGCTGAGATTCCATCTCTTACTGCAGGATGGGTTACCGTGAATTCACTCTTAAAAAATTTAATTGGTCCTTTGACTACATTTAAATTCACCCATGAAGGCTTTTATATTCATGATTGGGTGTTTTAAATAACTAGTCATTTAACCCATGCTTCAGATTTAATCACTTTTACACATTTGCAGCTTTTTCCCTTTTTTGTATACCTGAGGATTAATACAGTGAGGTTTTGGATACATAATTTTAAATGCTTTTTTTTTTTTTACCTTGCAAAGAAGAATGAAGTGAAACCATGAAAATATTTGTTAGATGCAATCTATGTCCTGTAGTTTACAACATCAAATAATTTAAATAAAAACATTTCAATGTTTCAGTTTTCTGCTGCCCATCATGTTCACAGCTGATGTACTTTTAAGTTATGTTTTGTTTCGCTTTTATTTATTCAGTTCCTCTGTGCTCTTTGATGACACTTCTGCTTTGGTGCTACCACCTATTCATGTGTTTTGATTGCCTACTTTGCAACACTGCACTTTCTGAAGCCAAAATTCAGTCACTTTTTTATCAACTTCTACATACATTTATATAAAAATGAATGCGTCTTGTTATTCAATGCACTTGCGCCAGCTTATATTTATGTGAAGTGTATCTTTTTTTTTTTTTTTTTACATGTACAAAATAGTTATTAAAATAAAACAGACGTCATTTTCTAACTTGAGCAGCGAATCCTTTTTTGCGAAACCATGACAGGAATGGGGAAGCGGTTTCATCATGCTGTCATGTGCCGTGTGTGGCACTTTGTGTCAAAGCTGGACAGCACAAACTGAGACACTTCCACTCAAAAATAGACCCTTTGAGTGCCTGCAGGTTACCAGCTGACTTAACTTCTGCTTTGGGTTCGGGTTGGTGAGGGGGCGGCGGGGAAGGAGGGCTTTAAGCTGGGTGAAAAGTTTTGCTTGACTCCCTTAAAAGCAGTAGAAGTTTTGTTTTTTTTTTCAAGTCATGTGGCTCGACTGGACGGAGTGTTTTTAAACCGTCGCCTGGCCTTAAGGGAAAATAATGTGGAGAGCCTCTGGGAACATCCAGAATAAAACCAGTGCGCTCGGCCGGGAAAAGAAAGGTGTTTACAAACAAACAGAGACTGCGGTGTCCGCGAGACGACTGCAGCTCGTGCCTGATCGCGCTACACGATGGCAAACGCGACTCAGACTCAGACCGAGGTGTATCTGTTCGAGCAGGTGATCGTGCTGTTCTCGTGCGCGCTATCTTTCCTGGGCTCCTCTCTGATTATCCTCACCTACATTATTTGGTCGGATTTGAGGACAACTCCGAGGAAACTGCTGGTTTACCTCTCGGTGTCTGACTGGCTCTCCGCCGTCTCCTACGCCTTCGGAGTGTGGAGCGTCTTCCGCACAAACTCGGCGGAGTGCGTTGCTCAGGGAGCGATTTCCACTTTCGCCAACACCAGCTCCTTCTTCTGGACCGTGGCCATCGCCGTTTACCTGTACGTGTTCATCGTGAGGACCAACCAAAGAGTCGCTGACAGCCTCGTGTTGGTGTTCCACCTCGTCAGGTAAGCAACCCGCGGAGTGTTATCTGTTTACTAAACCTGCTCCGGTGGTACCTGCGCCCTGAAGCATCTTGGGATTTCGGCAGTTGCGCCCCCCCCCCCCTCTAAAGTTGAGTTTACGTCACATTTTCTGAGATTTTGAACAGTGACATGTTAAAAGTTGGCACCTGCACATTCAAAACGGCTCCTTTAAACTGGGAATTAGACCACAAACACAAACCGCTTTGGCTCACTTAACGTGCATCTACTTTATTTTGTAACACTCTGAAAGTTGGCGCAAAACTCCAGTCTACTGCCAAGCTACGTCCTGACGTTACACCGCATAACGGGGTGACGTGCTGACATCACGGTGGGACCTCAAATATTAACCATGGAGTTATTGGATCAGTTCACGTGACGAGTGTTCATAAATCAGCTGATGCATGACACGTGCTCACTTGTTTTCTCACCAGCTGATGTTACCAGGACAACCTGGATACTCCGTGTGTGTTTCTCTGGATAGGAACACTGAATAAGGGACTCCCTACAAGTCCATTACACCAAGGGTGTCAAACATAAGGCCCCGGGGGCCAGAAATGGTCAGGCAAAGAATCCAATCTGGCCCACTGTATGTGAAGGAGGGCAATAGGGCTTTTTTTGTGAATTAACAAAAACTTCCAGCTTTATAATTACAGGACTGTCTGAGCAATGAGCTACCAGAACTTTTTCTGTCATTTAAAACATTTATTTTGTACACTTCAAGCCTACAGAGTCGTCCTAGCTCAGGGGCGGATCTACAGGGGGGGCTGTAAAGCCTTGCCTCATTTGTATTTTTAAAAAGTTTATGTTTACTTAGAAGAGATAATGATACAATAAATACTTTCAAAGTGATATTTTGTTAACACCATATACGTATGGGGGGTTTTCCACATATTTCACTGAAAAGGCACATGCACATGTTTGTGCTGTGGTTAGCACTGCTGCCTCACAGAATGAGGGTCCTGTGTGGAGTACGCATGTTCTCTGCGTGCCAGCGTGCTCCAGCTTCCCATCCACACACATACAAGTCAGGCTAACTGGTGATTCTGAATTAGTGAGTGTGAAGGGTTGTCTCTGTGTGTTCATCCTGCGATAGATCGCCGTCTGAACTGTGCCTCGCCTTTTTTTTTTCCACTACCAGCAAAAACAGAAAAAAGAAAACGCCGCAACTTAAAATGTATCACTGACAACATTCAGTCATACTGTCAGAATTTCTGTTACTGAAACTTTGCTGATTTATTTGTGGATAAATGAGTTCAATAACAGCCAAAAAGACAATATTTTATTTTCAAAGCTTGTCATTCATCCCACTCCTCCTCTTCCTCACATTCATTGTTTTCTGGTTTCATGGTCAAAAACATCCCCAACATGTCCACCCTGCTCTTTTCTTCCGTAGAACAAAACATTTTTTGTTTTTTCTTATCAAAATTCCTTAAAATCAATCAAATTGAGTCTGTACTATGCAGATATAAGATAAGATAAAGACAGAACTTTATTAATTCCTCGGGTGGATTCCTCTGGGAAATTCGGTTTCCAAATAGCACAGAAGTTACAGAATGTGAGCAGAATACCATATATACACATATATAAATACAGAG